TATTGCTCTAAGTGTTTAAGGGGTTATTTGTCCCAGGCGTTCATTGGCACCATTTTGGAGCATTGGTGCCATTGTTGACTAACAAATTGAAGACCTTTGCACTGAAACACTCCATCCACACATCTTCTACCATTTATCCAGATGTGGATCGTAGGCACAGCAGTCTAAGTAGAAATGCCTAGGACCCCCTTTCCCCAGCCACCTCTTCCAGCCCTTCTGGGGGGACACCAAGGCATTTCCAGGCCAGCCGAAAGACACAATCTCCAGCATGCCCTGAGTCTGCCCTGAGGCCTCCATCCAGTTGGACATATCCAAATTGCCTCACTCAGGAGGCATCCTAATCAGATGCCCACACTACCTTAGCTGGCTCATGTTGATGTGGAGGAGTAGCAGCTCTACTCTGAGCTGCACCCAAGTGACCTATCTCCTCACCCTATTTCTAAGGGAGCGACGCCGCCACCTTTCAGAGGAAGCTCATTTCTTTCACTCATATCCACGATCTCATTCACTACCCACAGCTCGTGGACATACAGTAGATGAGGCTACACTAAAACTGAAAACGTTGGTACAGCATCCACATCACTGTCTGTCAAACATGGAGTAGCAAAGGGTGGCTACTTTCAGGAATCTACAATATAAGACATATTTAGAGTTATTTATTAATTTTGCTACATAATTCCATATATCTTGCTTCATATATTTGATGTCTTCAGTATGTATCTACATTGTAGAAAGTAGTAAAAGTAAAGAAAAACCATTAAATGAGAAGCTGTGTCCAAACTTTTGACTGGTAGTGTATGTTCCTCCACACTACGTTTCTAACGTTAACCGTGTACCGTGTACGTTAACCTCATGTTTTACCTGAATTGAGAAAGGATGTATAATGTAAATAGAATTGGTCCTAGCACAAAACCATTTTTTTGTTTGGAAAAGCAGGATGGAAATTTTTAAACTGTTTTTAAACATTTCTGGCTCTTTTCAGACTTTGTTTTAAAAAGTATTCAGTAAGCTAAAATGTGGGGGGAAAAGAAATAAAATTGCTAAGCATCAGCAGGAACAGGTCAGACAAGTTAAAGCGTTTATTGGTCTGAGCGGTGTGTTCGCCGGTTGCCTTGGGGGTGTCGTCCTTTGTAAGCCGTGCCATTCATCCCTGCACGGCCGGCAGCAGGCCCAGCCTCGCTCTGTTGTCCGTCTGTGACTGTAAACACACAGCTAATTAGTGCTCCCTACAGACTGCAGCGCGGCATCTGGTCAGCCTGACGCGCACAGCCATACACAAACGGAGGCACGCCTGTGTGTGTGTGCATGGATAATTGCACCATATACATGCAAATGACAGATTTGTGCACACATTGCCTCAAACACGAGCAGCGTATCATACAGAGAATCCCAGACACACTAGTGGGTGTTATGTTTTCCCAGCCAACCTCTCGTGTATGTTCTCTATTAACAGGCGGTGGCTGGTGCTGCTCACATTCCTGCTTTTCTGGCATCCATCCTCAGCCTTATCATAATGAGGACCCTATCCTGGGCCCTCGGGCCCCGATGGCTTGTTTCTGTCTGCCTTTGATGCCAATCTGAGGGCCAGAGAAGGTTTTTTTTTTTTTTTTTTTTGCTTCGTTGTTTGACTGGACGAGTCGAATACAGAGTGCATTCCTTACCAAGAGAGGAGTGGTTTAAACACATTCACAGTTGGGGGGACTTCCCGCTTACCGAGCATTCCTGTGCATCAGAACAGTGATCAATCACCTCGCTCTCAGAGGATCTGGTTTATGATTGAACTGCAAAGTTTTAAGAGAAGGTTCTTTATTTCCTTCTCTGAGTTTGCATTCTTCTTGCTCTGTGGGCCCAGTTGAGCTCCTCGGTTTGAATTGCTTTGTGTCATGTTTGCTCTGCTTAATAATTGAATGAACTTGGGAAGAGGCAGGGACTGACCCACTATTTACGTAAGTTACAGCTAAACAATGGTGCTGCCTAGTGTGAGTGCTTAATGCAGCACAGGGCTGTCTGGGTGTTATCACACTTTCTGCTGCCTCTTTGGCGAAAATGAGCGCCGACTCCACTCGTGCTAAAATAATCAACACCCTGTGATTTATTTGTTTTTCTGCAGCTGGAGATCCCATTAGAGATTATCTGCTAAAATCTTCAGAGTTTCTCTAAATGCGTATGTACACTTTCTTTTTGAAATATCAGTAAACAGTGTGTGACCCTAACACCTGATTGTATAACTAGATAAAGAATTTTGTGTTAATTTGCTGTGTTTCTGGTCTTGAGGGCTTTTAGGCAACTCTCTGCTTCTTAGGGTCAGAAACATTCAAACAGAAATCAAGAACAAAGTGCTGTCTCACTTCCAAGTTATTGAAGTGGATACAACAGCGTGCTAATCTCTGAGAATGATCACAGAGTCAATATTGATGCCATTATTTCTCGGTGATCTGGCAAATAAGTCCATCCATCTCATTCCCTAACTACCCTGCTGCGATCCGACAGTGCCGATCACTGCAGCGCCGTGCCGCCGGGCAAAGAAATCATCAGACTGAAACTGCATGAATCCTATGCTAAATTTAGAGAATTAAGCTTGTTTGATTAGGAAATTGGCAAGACCACACTTGTTTATTTTAAAGATCCTCCTGTTCAAGCATGTTGTACAACCTTTAGCTGTCATCTTAGCTCACTTAAACTTGTTTTGTTTTTCTCAATGAGATTAGTCTCAATGAGATTAGTGGCAATGAAGGCAGCCCAAATAAAAAAGTCCAGCAAAAACACTGTCTCGAGATCTGTATCTTCACCGTGTTAGAGGACATAGTGCGAATGTGGTGTTTAGAGTCTTCTTCACTTTTCTCCAGTGTGTAACAAATCCTATGGATCGACATGAGGAGACATCCTCTGTCATTGAAAAGTATTTCTTAGAACTCTGCTTGCCTCTGGTGATGTTAGTGTGAGCTCACATACATGTGACTGTCATCAGATGGCAGAGCGGTAACAACGAATGACTTTTTAATGCTGCCTGGGTGATTTCCAGCTCTCTGTAATACGTCACATGACACATTATTTAATGTAAGGTTTGCTTTAGAAGCAGGAATGTTAAAGGTCAGAAAAAGGATATAAGAGCTTTCATCAGTGAGTCTGTATTCATTTTGCCTCCTTTGGGATAATAGGAAGCGCATGCTGCAGACTAGCACGTGTTGTTGTTTGGGTTTATTAAGTTAGAAGAATGACACAGGACGGCTCACACAATGAATGAAAAGAGTCCAGTGTTGAGCTGTAAAGTCTTGTTATGTGCTAGTTAACAGCAGCATCTGCTGTCCTCCTTTCAGCCAAATGCAGGGTGTGAAACTGAGCCCATGATGTTGCTACAGAGTTGGTACAGTTGTTGAGACTAACTGTGAGTTAAAAGATATCATACGTAACATTTAGACTAATTAACATCTATGACAGAGTTATACTCACGATCATTCACACTCTTGTTGATACCTACACCAAAATCACTCGTTAACCTAGTGAGCATGTCTTTGGACCGAAAAGCCCTGCAGGCACAGAGAGACATGCTAACTGTAAAACTATTGATGTGAAGCTATAATGTTTTGATATAAAACTGCAAACCTTTTCCAATCAGCGATCACATTTTTGAACCGTGACACGAGAGTCGGTATTTATAGTCAGCTGATATTAGCATGACTGCTGTAAAGTATTGGTAACGCATGTAAGGCTGTAGTGTCGCTGCTTGAGTAAGTGTGTCGTTTTGGCGTGATTTACCTTTTTATTTGAAAGAGGAACCACAGAGGAACTATATTATTATCAAGCCAGTGATTTATGATCTTTATCGTGTGAAAGTACTTTACCTGTGTGCAGGACCTGGCATGCTTAGTGATCCATGGTATAAAGTATCAGGGTCTGGGTTATACACTTTGAGCTCACTTTGAGTCTCTGGCTTCTCTTTCATGCTCGTGACTCCTTCTGTCATCTTTGTGCCTCTTGTAACCTCAAACATCACTTCCTTTTCTTGGTTGGCTCTTAAACACCTGTAAGGCAACCTTCACCCTGCAGCTCGTAGTGGCCCCCCGTCTGATGTTTGTGAACATGCAGCTTTCACCTGCTGCTGCTCACCATGTACATGAACAATTACATAAAGGTATAAATGTGAATAGCACTCCACGTCTCTTCTAGCTCTAGCTCTCCTTTATTCCACCTCATGATTTGTCTTTTCCTCCAGGCTATAAATCACCCTGCCTTTTCAAATCTTACGTTTGCCAGGACGAACAGTGAAAATAAATTGCATTAATGAGACATCGAGGAGAAGCAGAAATCCGATTTTCTGTCGCAGTCTTCAGCTTTGACTAGTGCATTAATGTAGTTCCAGAGGATTGCGGGTCATCCGATGATGAAGATCTGTAAATGTTTTTGTCACTGGTTCTGTTCTCTGTGTTTTTATCTTCACTTAAATCTCGTCAAGCACAGCAGATCCACCTCTACACTGTGCATTATCTTCTAGACGTGCTGATATTCTGTTCTCCAAGGTGGTTTTTTGTGTGTCTTTAAGAATCATTTCCACTTAGTCATTAAGTATTACTGTCAGATCTTTTCATTTCAGTTGCTGCACTGTTCCACCTTTGTTCCATATCACTTCCGTCCCCTCGCTCTGTCTCTCTCTCTCTCCCTGTTTTATGTTGATGGTACTGTTAGTCTGAAGAAATGCTAGAAGGGTTTTTCTTCACTCGCAGAAAGTTTTCAAAGAAAGCCAGAAATGTCTGTTGGCTAGTGCTTCCTCCTGCTTTTTGCCTTCTGCCTTTTCGCTGTGCGTTTGTATTCAGCAGGAAGGCTTGTAGAATTACTACAGCTATTTTCTAGTCTTTGGTGTTAAACATCCCATGGCTAATGTTCCTCACGTCCTGCTCTCAGACCTGAAGCTCTCATGCTGGCCCAAAGCTACCTGAATTCCAAACTCAAACATTTCCTGTGGCTTAAACTTCCCTTTGATTTTCCCATTTCTTCCTCTGCAGTATTCAGCGGGCAGCTCTGGCCATCATAGAGCACTACTACTGTGACTTTCCGGTTCATAACCCAGCGCTGCTTTCCGCCTCCAAGTCCCGCGCTGCCAAGCATCTGGCTGGCCTCAAGGTGTACAATGTGGATGGTGAGTTCCCAGCAGCCCCTGCTGAGGGTGAGTGGGATGCTTCATGTCTTCAGTGATTTTGGTTGTTCTTTGTGCTCTGGGGTGGTGGAGTCTCAGAGGTCTGCTTTTCCTTCCTTATACTGATCTGTTTGGGAAAACTGTGTGTTTTACTTATTACAACTATCTGTTCAACAAACTGATTATTGTTCAGTCTTTAAAATGCTCACAGACACTGAATATTTCCCTGTTTTCAGACTGACCCACAGCTCAGATCTTTTATCCTGTCTTCCTTCTCTCACCCCAACTAGTCGCAACAGATGGCCCCGCCCCTCCCTGAGCCTGGTTCTGCTGGAGGTTTCTTCCTGTTAAAAGGGAGTTTTTCCTTTCCACTGTCGCCAAAGTGCTTGCTCATAGGGGGTCATATGATTGTTGGGTTTTTCTCTGTATGTATTATTGTAGGGTCTACCTTACAATATAAAGCGCCTTGAGGCAACTGATGTTGTGATTTGGCGCTGTATAAATAAAACTGACTATAAAAATTGAATTGAATTGAAATCTATAGATTTAAATAGGATTTTGACATTTAAGAATCAGTGACATTCGGTAAATGAGTGATTAGACACCAAAACTGTTTCTCAATTCTTGTTAGTTTAAATGATGTGGATTAGTTATCTCATATTCAGATTTGTAGTTTGACCACTGACCCTTTTTAAACAACATGTATTTGATATTTGAATTGCCATAATGCCTTTAAACTCCAAGGATTCATATTCGCGCGTTGCCTTTTTTTTGGGTCCAACATTTAAACGTAACATTTTTAGCTAAAAAAGACAAAAAAAAGTCTCCAAATCTTCTCATTTGAAAACTTTAACAGCAAGTTTGTCTAATGTTTTGCTTAAAAAGAATCAGCCTCAACTGTGATCCAGTCTTCAGGGTCATGTTGATTGTCTGGTCACAATTTCCCACACTACATAATGAGATATGACTTGTTTTGTTTAATGACAGAGCAGCAAGAGTCAGACTGAGAAAACCAGAAAATGTCCAACGATTGGCAACATTGTTCCAGTTAATTAGGCTTATTCGCTTAAATGGTTCTGGTCTGTTTATGACAATTAAACTAAATATGGCTGTCTCTAATTATATTTAATATAATATCTGCCAATATTTTGCCCTCATTTCAATGTAATGTGACCACTTAACTGGCAGAATAAATACATCTTTAACACCATTACACAGAGGCCACATTGTTTTTGAGTTAACTGCTAGAAACTGCGTTTTTGTGTAGCAGTCGGTCGCTCCAAATGACATTTCAAGTCTCTGCAGGTCGAATCTCCTTAGCTGTGCTGGAATGTGCTAAAACATATAACTGCCTGGAAGGAAGAAAATTGATCTGCAGTCTTGGCATAATTAGAAAATTGACCAGCGTAGTATAAAGCACAGGTGATTTGTAGCTGATGTGTTACAACATGCAAAAAAAGTGTGGCTATCTATATCGCCCCGGGCGCACCTTCTGGAGCAGGTGGAGTGTTTTAAACTTGCTCTTCTCTCTGTGTTTTTCCTCACACTGACGCTAACCCGTTAAGACATCTTTAAAGCTAAACTGAAAGCCTACCTGTTGGACAGTAAGTAAATGCAACGCTGCCACCAATAAAAGTACCCTCACAGCCTGCTGGTGCTCGCTTTAAACAAAGCTATTCCTTCAATGTACTTGAAATGAAAAGCCCCCACCTCCCCCACCCCACTACTTCCACCCACTCCTATTCTCTCTTTGCATGCCACAGGTTGATGAAAAAGTTCAGCGTTGTCCTTACAACAGCTGGCAGAATGCAACACAAACCCTCGATTAAATTATTGCAGTCCCTTAAGTGTACTCAAGCTTCACTTAAGTGCACTAACTTGACTCCCACCTCTCGGTTTGGTGTTTTATTTTCCTGCCATTTATTTCCCTCCTTTCTTCCTCCTCCTCTCAAATGTTCGTGGGAGGCGTTGACGGAGATGGCTGATAAATCAATAGCTATTACAACACCAGTATTCTCATTTCTCTCTCGAGCCTCATCCTCCTTCATTTTCCTCCCGCAGCAGCTGCTCGGGGACCCCTCCGTCGCTCTCATCGCTCTCTTGTCTTGAGCTTTTACTTCCTACTTCTTGCTTTCTGCGGCCACACTGCTACTGTAATAAATAATTCTGACTCAGGGACAGACGATAATCATTTCTTAATGAAAAACTGGTGAAGCTCTGAGCACAAAACAGCCGTAATATTCGATTAGACTGCGTCCAAATGGCTTCGGGTGAGCTTTGTGATTCCTGGAACAACATTTTAACTGTGTTGTTTAGTCAGCTCAAGTTTCTGTGACTGAACTACCAAATCAAAGAAGCGGAGTGAAATACAGTCACCGCTGTTACAGGTATTTCCTGTTGCAGTCATGAGTAATGGTGCCACTCTTTCAGGCAGCATTAAAAGTCTGATCTGCGTTTTGGATCGTCGTCCCACTTTCTTGTCTGATTGTATGACACATTCCTGAATCTGTGGAATATTCTCATTTCTGTACATGCAATGCTTCCTAATATCCATCGCCCCAGCGCTGAATATTATCTCCCCATTTCTTAACAGTTGGCGACAGTTCTGCTTCATCTACATGCAGCCTAACATTGCTCAGACTTTAAAGAAAAGCTCTTTTTAAGCACGGCTGTTAACAAGATTAGTATCATTTTCACTTGAAAAGTCCACACAGCATTTCATGTGTCCACAGGTACCTAAGCAGTTACACACAATGACACTGTGTGAATAGTACAGGTGGGACTCACCACACATGAGATTCATGATTTTCAACATTTTGTGATACGTACATCTGTTAATATTATTTCATTGATGTAGCTTTAAACTGTGAACTGGCTGTAAACAGGATGTACGATCATGTGGTTTGGCCTTATGACTTCAGTGTCGGAGAATTCCCAAGTTTATTTGTAAATTTGTGGCTTTAATCTCACAAATCCTTCTCCTAAACTATGAACCCCACTGCTCGGCTCGGTTTGTATTTGTTTTTGTTTTTTTCCAGTATCAGTGCCCCTGAGAAACCATCATACTCCAGATTATTATTGTTCACACCAATGAATTTTCACATTTGAGAGATACAGTCTTGAACTATTGAAGACCCTCTAGACTACTTTTACTTCCACTCGACTTCTAACCGACACGTGTTTCTGTTGTAAGTGTGTCTCGTAGAGTTATTTGAAATCTTCCGTACAGAAAGCGCCACATGGCAAATTCCAAGTGCACCTTCCTTCCCCTGACATTTAGTGTAACGTTTCCCGCCCGTAAACCTCATGTCAGTGCAGTGATGCCAGGAGCAGAGTTGGGAGGGGGGTCCATGAATTATTCTGTTCATGCTCGATCCCTGCCCCGCATTAATAATTCGCCAGCGCTGCCATCTTTTAACCTGCATTAACATCAGGCGGGGTTCATCAGCCGCCTCCGATTTCTAATTCTAAAAATGTAAACTTTTGAAGTTGCCCGAGACCCTCATTTAATTGCACTCCCCGTACCTCCTGAAGGCAGAGTAATGGAAGTGTTTGCATATCAATGGCCCGTACATGGGGGAAGGAATGTGTTTTGGATTTTCCACTGATGACATCGCTCGGAACAATAAAAAATTCAGACTTTGTGCGGCTCTTCTTGTCAGCTTCTGGGGTTTTAAGTGTTGCAGGTGATAAAAGGAAATGGACTGAGGTTTATGTGCATTAATAATCTCCCCCCTTCACTCTAACAGCAGCTTGTTCTCTCACATTGCACTCTGTGTCATCACCAAAGATTTCTTTCTTCCTTCACCGGCCGCTACCACCTGTGAACACTCTCATACATGCGTTTAACCCTTCCCGTCAATCTGATTTTGCCGCGGCAGGTCCCGGAAACAACGCAGCAGCGGGAATCGCCCATTCTCAGTCCAGAGCGATGATCGCAGCTGCCGCCCGCCGCAGAGACACCAGCCACAACGAGCTGTACTACGAAGAGGCCGAGCACGAGAGGCGTGTCCGCAAACGCAGAGCACGGTGAGTCGGTCAGATCAAAACGCGTTTCAAGCAGTAAAACACAAAAGCCTGCTGTTATTGAAACTGCTGTTGTTTGCTGTTTCCCCTCCCAGGCTGGTGGTGGCAGTAGAGGAAGCGTTTACACACATTAAGCGCATGCAGGAGGAAGAGCAGAAAAAAGCACCTGGGGATGTTATGGACCCTCGAGAAGCAGCACAAGCCATCTTCCCATCCATGGCTCGGGCCCTGCAGAAGTACCTGAGGACCACCAAGCAACAGCACTGCCACAGCATGGAGAGCATCCAGCAACACCTGGCCTTCTGCATCACCAACAACATGACGCCCAAGGTCAGTCCTGTGACCTCTACACACAGCATTCGGCCTTTCTTTGGGGGTCATTTCAGTGAATTATATTTATATAGTGTCAAATAAGGTAAAGAACCTACAAGGAAAACAGAGAGAAAAACCCCAACAATCATATGACACACTACGACCAAGCAAAAGTGGGAAGGAAAAGCTCAATTTTAACATGAAGAAACCTCCAGCAAAACCAAGCTCAGGGAGGGGCGGCCATCTGATAAAGACAGGACATAACATGCTGTGGAAGAAGGCCAGAGATTAATAATAACTAATATTTAAATGCATTTTTATAATATAATGGTTTCATACTTCCTTCTTTTCCAGGCGTTCCTTGAGAGCTACCTGACTCCAGGTCCAACCGTTCAGTACAGCCGAGACTTCTGGCGAGCCCGTCAGTGGACGCTGATCAGCGAGGCGTCAGTCACCAGCGGCCTGAAAGACGGCACCATCTTCCTGCTCAAATGTGTGGACTTTAGCCTGGTGGTGACATCCAAGAAGATCCCCTACATCCAGATGTCCGAGGAGTACATCGATCCCAAATCACACAAGTTTGTGCTGCGGCTACAGTCGGAAACATCTGTGTAGGATGCCAGATGTTTTATTTTTATTTCACACCCTGTTGCTCTCCAATATTTTCATTTTGGGTTTTGCAGTTTTCAATTTTTACTTTTTTAAAAATATATTATATATGAATCTAGCTATCGCACACGTTTGAATATATTGATCTTTTATTGTTGATAAAATCGAAAAAAGAAGAGTTGCAGCAGGATTTTTGCTCACTGGAGTTTGGACGCGGTTGAGTGCACATGCTGTGTGTGTGTGTGTGTGTGTGTGTGTGTGTGTGTGTGTG